GGAGGTCTCTGTCGACTATTCATTGACTTCATTGATGTGGGGCCCCTGGTGACGTGACCTGGCATAGAAGAGCAAAAGTGCTCTATGTGGCCTGGAACCAAAAGAGAAAGAGACTGGAACCTGGTCATTTCCTTCAACGGCCTTTTCACTGATCTGAAGTCCTCCCACCAAACTCCACCTCTTAAAGAGTCCAAAAGTTCTCTCTAGATGTCCCTGGGGAGCAAGTTTCTCTTACCACATTATGGGATGTTAGAGGACGCTTCGGGGGATGCTTGGGAATCTAGCCTGCAGCATAGACTTTCGTATTTTATAGATGAAAGTGAGCCAAAGTTGTTTTACACATTCCTCTTCTTGCCTTCCATAGCACACTGGCTCCTAGGCACAGTCACATGGCTGAGCTCTATCCAATCAAACTGGATGAAAGATGTACTTCCTGCTCCTTATTTCTTTCCCACCCTAAGATGCTCTGTGCTTCATGGTATTTGTATGCTGGCTGAATATATAATATGCAGGTCTCAGAAACTCAGAGCACCAGAGCAGCCTAGGTAACGGAGCACACATGGAGGTAGATCCCTTGGCAGATGCCCAGGAGACATAGTCTGCCACGTAATCTTCTGGGAGACACATTTCTTTTCTTTCCTGTGGCGGGTCTCACTTTCTGTACAAGGTAAGAGTGTGACTTAGTGACTCGCATGATTACTCCAGGCCTCCCATCCAGAGATGCTCTGACCCTTTAAGAAGGGAAGGAGCGGAAAGGCACTGAGGGCTCCTCTTAGGCTCTTGTGGGCACTCTAGGAGGCTATGTGATGCCTCTGGTAGAGATCAACAGAAAGGTCCAGGACCCAGGAATGGCGTCTGGCACCTTTCCCCGGGCTCCCTGGTGTTACGGGGGAGCATTGGTAAATGCATTTTCACCTCCAACAGGCATGGACCACTTACCTCTCTCTCTAAGAAAGGTACTCAGCTCAGCAGACAGAGAACTCCCCTCTCTCTGAAGTCCCCTGCCTCCTGTGGTCCCTGAGGCCCAACCCCCCCCCCGAGGCGTAACACTAAGAGATGCTCGTCTTCCTTCCTTTTGGCCTGGACACACCTACTGGACAGTGACATTTTATTTGCCACGGAAGCTCACAGTTGGTTTTACTATGGCTGCAGTCTCTGGAGACCTATAGAAGCAACAGGAAAAGAAGAATCTATAGCTGCCTGCTAGGGCCATAGAGACCATTTCTGCTGCCAGAGTCCTGAACAAGGGACATGCCTGGCTTCCTAAAATCCTCCTGATTATTTGTTGGTGCTGTTACTTCTCTCCCCACTCTTGCTTCCTTGTCTCCTTCCCATGAATATCTGTCTCTAGCCCTCGCTTCTCCAGAGGCATTTGTCTGCTGGGAAAATAGCCACCGACAGCAAAGGTCACCGCGACCAGGTCTGACTCGCCGCATACAAATGTGCCTTTTAGCAGTGGACCCTGCAAAGACGGCCACCCCCAAGTCTTATTATTGATAAATCCTTGAGGAGACTCTAATGTATCTTCATTTCAGGGAAAACAACTGCCTTCAAGGTTGTAGCGAGAAAATAAAGCAGGCGGCCCAGTGACGGATTCGAGAAGTTGGCGTTTTCCCGAAGATTAAAAGATAATAACACTTCTATTAGGATCACTCGGCCACGCTGTATTGATCTCATCAGGGAAGCCACTGCAGGTCTCAGGCGAACAGAGCGCGTCCTGGAATTAATCACGAGGGTTTTATTATGGTTCATAGGGCGTTTCATTCAAGCCACATCGTTTGCAATATTTATGATCCTGCTCCCTGGCCATCGTTAAGAGCAAGTGAGGCTGGTGGAGCTGAGCCTGCTGGGATAGAACATGGAGTCATTCTTTAAAGGCAAGTCTTACCCGAACTGGGCACCCAAAACCTACCATGGTTTGATTTACATCTTAATTCGAAGAACAGGCCCCGTGCTGGAATGGGGGGATTGGGGCAATGGAAATCTCATAGTCACATGTAGCCTCTCTTTCCAAGCAGAGGTACCACTTCCCACAAGCTCCCTCCTTCCGTTTCCAGGCCTGCAGAATAGGAGCAATGGAACCTACCCCTTGAAGGGAGGAAGAAGACGAAATACAACAATGCCGTATACCATGCCAGGCTTGAATGGTCTCTCAGAAATAACCACTGCTCTTCTCAATGAAAACATCCCTGACCTACCTGAACGAATCACAAAAGGAAAACGGGCTGATTGAAATCTCAAGCTAATGATGGGTATCAGAGGGTTTTATGTCTAGTGGAAACCTGGGCCATAGCTCTCCTGCTGGATTCGCTTGTGCAGCCACTGTCGGGCTACACAGGCCATAGCATGTAAGGCAACCTAATAAAATCACCTTTGTAATTTATGTCTGCTCCACTGGTTCAGTCCAAGAACGCGAATGTACATTGACTATTGACTTTTTAAAATGTGTTTAGGCTAGTTCCATTCCCCAGTATATGGCTATCTTGGAAATGCCCTAGGCTCACCTGAAAGAGGGCACTCGGTTGGTGTTAGGTGCAGTGTTGTAGGTATGGTAGGTGTAGGCGGCTTGTAGAACTGTTTGAGTTCCCTATAACAAGGCTGAGCTAAAGCTAGGGGCTCTGTCAATAACTGTTTGTAGAGCCATTGGATTTGTGCCTTACATGTTAGTGGCCAGACCACTGGGAAACAGCCATGAGATGCTGTGGATTTTACTCCTCTCGGACTCTGGTTCGCTGTATGGTTCAGATCCAGATCGATACATGCACAATTGGAGGTAGTCCTAGGAGTTAAGCTAAAACTTGATTGGATCTTTGCTTGGGATCTCTCTGTGAACTTCCTGGAAGGTGGGTTCTATTCAGAAAAGTGGAGCCTTAATGTCTCTGTTCTGTTTCATACTTGATACTGAGTGTATCTTGAGAGAAGAGCGGGGTGAGGAAAGACAGAGTGGAGAGGCAGGGGGTAGATGATAACAGAAAGCGCAGTGGCCTGTCCCCACCACCTTGGGACCATAGACAGTCAGAAAGCAAGAGCTACCCAGCTTTGGGGTCTAGGTTCCTTCCCGCTAGCCTGATGCCGGCATTCATCACTGCTGTGGACACCATGGGTTTTCTGAGAACCGAGACGGGAGGAAATAGTAAACACAAACACCCCTTGCAGTTTCCTCCGTTCCCTCAGATAAGAACTTTGATTCTTCTTCCCTGGACTGGAGTGTGTTAGTCATCTCAGGCTTCCCTATCAAAATGTCCCAGACTGAATGTCCTAAATAATAGGCACTCATTTTCTCACAGCCACGGAGGCTCCACATCCACGACAAAGGTACCCTTGTGTTTGCTTTCTGATGGGGTCTCACTCCTAATGAGTCTCTATTCATTTGTCCTCGTAGTTTTTCTTCTATGTCGTTCAAGGGGTGGGGGAGGAGGGAAGCAGTGCTTTTCGGTGTCTTCTCAGAAGGGCCCTATTGTATTAAAGCCCCATTTTAAAGACTCTGCTTAAGTTTAATTAATTCCAAAGAGGCAGCATTTCCCAAACACAGCCACACACCAGAGATTTGGGCCTTTATGTTTTGCATAGGAAATGTCCTCTTTCAGGCTCATGTGTTGGAGGCTTATTCTTCCTGCTGGTGGCACTATTTGGGGACGTGTTAAGAATTTTTGGAGCTGGAGACTAGGGTGGGAAAAGTAGGTAACAGAAGTTGAATCCTTGAGGGACATATCTTGACCAAGGCTCTTGATCTGTCTCCTGGCTACCATGATGTTAGCAGCTCCCTGTGGCACATCCTTCTGCCTTGATGGCTAGCCTGGCTTCAGGCTGAAAGCCAACAAGTCCAGAACCATCCACAGAAACCTGTAGAAGCAGGGGCCCAAATAGGCCTTTGTTTCTTTAAACTGTTTCTAATAGGAAATTGGCGGAGACACACACACACATTGTAACACAGTTGTCTCACCATATAATTACTTTGTGGGGAGGAAAAAACAAAGAAGCATTGTATAAAGACTAGAACTAGAAGTCTTCTCGTGGAACTCTTTCTGTCTATACCAATCGCATTCTTTTGATTTTGGATGGCCTAGAAAACTAGTCCAGGAGATACTGGAGGGGGAAAACAAAAACAACAACAACAAAAGACAAATAACTAAAAAGAACGTCAGTGGAAACTCCCCAAAAATGCATTGCTGGTTGAGTGGAACTTAAATTCTGGTGTTGACCCAAACTCCTCTCTACATTTATAATTTCAGTGGAAAATCTCTTCAGTATTACTGAAAAATTAAATACAAAGTATTTGTGAAACTTGGCCATGCCATAAATGCAAAGTCATTAAGAAGAATATCAACTTCATTTTTAATAATTTTTGAAGAAAATAACAAAACTACTACCAACACAAGAATAAAATGACTTAAGAATAAACAAAACGCAACTCAGGAAAATAATCAAAACACTCAAAAACGCAGGCTAACTACGCTGTAGCCACACTTAGTCCAAAGGTCTGTGGACGTCAGTCGAGAGGAATATATCAAATTTCAGGCACTTGGGTATGAAGTTCCGTAAAGAACAAAATTTGTTCTAATCAGTTGGAAGCTAGAGTAAGTGCAATTGAGTGGAAGTCAGTCCTGGAGGGGCACGAGGTAACCCGTGCACCCCTCTTCTAGTGTCCTCCAGCCCCACTTGCACAGTGTCACCACTGTGTAGCTGAGTGGCAAAGTTTGAGAACAATAGGGGAAACTGCGCCTCTACTGTCCTTCCCTTTCTGTCTAACAATGTAGTACGGAGGAGGCGTGGACATGTATCCTTGCATGGGCCCGTATCCTGGCGTGGGCCCGTATCCTGGCGTGGGCCCGTATCCTGGCGTGGGCCCGTATCCTGGCGTGGGCCCGTATCCTTGCGTGGGCACGTATCCTTGCATGCGCACGTATCCTGGCGTGGGCCCTCGCTTGGGCCCGTATCCTTGCGTGGGCACGTATCCTTGCGTGGGCACGTATCCTTGCGTG